TCCTGTATTTGGGGGAAAAAAACATCCTGTCATCCTATCAAACAATGAGGCTGGCACTTGTTCTAGTCCACTAGTATCGCTGGAGGGTGTTAAACAGAAGCTTCTAACATTAGACCTTTATAAATCAGCAGTTCCAGATAACTTGCGTCCAAGAGTTTGAAAAGAGCTGGCCAAGGAGCTCGCTGGCCCGTGAACGCTGATTTTCAATAAGTCTGGGGAGGTTCCAGCAGACTGGAAGACAGCTAATGTTGTGCCAATATTTCAAAAGGGCAAACGGGCTGGCCTGGAGCAGCCTGTCAGTCTGACCTCAATCCTGGGCAAACGAATGAAATGGCCAACACGGGACGTGACTAATAAAGCGTTAGCAGAGGTTGATATAATTAATGCCACTCAACATGGGTCTATGGCTATACACCTTGTGACACTGACATGGTTTGTTTGAGGAGATTACCAATTTGGCTGCTGTAACAGACAGACATCTGGAAGGCGTTTGCTTTGGTACCACATGACATTCTGATCAAAACCCGAGAATGATACAAAATCATCACAGCACCTGTGCAATGGATTCAAAACTGGCTCCCTGGCCGGTCCCAAAATGTCATCGTCGCCGGGGACTCCATGTTGAGTGGATGTGTTTCTAGCGGCTCGGTTCTCAGGCTAGCTAGGGAGCCCACTCGACCCCTATAAACTCGGTTGTGCTGGCCCCTGTCTGGTACTGGGATAAACCTGGAGGTGGGTTTCTCTGGTTTCAGAGGGGAGTATGCCACGCTGCCCCCACACACCACTGCCATGCCAACGAGCCGGCCGCGCCACGCCCAGAGGTCCAGGCATGGCCACACGTGAGAGGCGCCTTTCTCCCAGCTGGGTGCCGTCAGGCGACCCTGGGCACCCTGCGGTGTTGCAGAACACGGTATAAGGGACGCACGAAGCCGACCTAGGGATGAACCACCCACGGGCAGCGCCAGCGACATTTCACAGCAGCATGGAGCCAGCTGCCGGGGCCGGGCACTGTTGAAGGTCTATTGCCAGTTGGACACCCCCGGGCAGTTCCCATCCGCCTTGACTGTGCATCCCTGGGCCGGGGCCGCTGGACAACAGGGGGTCGCACCAGCACGTCTGGGCTGCACACAGGCCACGTGACCCAGTGCAGCGCGGCCGGGGTTTGCACGAGGCCTGGCGAGGGGCCATGCTGCTGCGCTGTGCAGGTAGCCATGCCACGGGGAGCCACCCGCGGACACCTGGGTTAAGAGCAGACTGGGCCCCGGGATCCTGTAGCGCCCGGCACAGCTGTCGGGGGTTCGAAGCCAGCAGGCAGCTCTGGGGTCCCACACATGGGCCATGCACGTCGTTGGGGGAACTCGGATTGCAACCCACAGGGGGGGGTCACATGGGGTCACACGTGGGGTCATAGGAGGGTGTCACCCAGAGGAACAGGCAACCTGGAGGCCAGGGCCTGAAAGGCGGGTGAGAGGGGGCCCCGAGTCAGCCGCTGGGGCTGAGTCGGTCTCAGGCAGGCACCAGCCCCCGAACACAGCAGGGCCACAGGAACTGGCTCGGTTCTCCTGGCACCCGCGGTGCTGCTCGGGCGAGACCCGCACATCCAAGCGCCCACACAGGGCACTGAGCGCTCGGTCTCCGTTGCTCACTCTAGCTCTGCTCGGCCCAAGCACTGCGCCAACCTGCGCCTGGCTCCCCCAGGCAGCTGACTCTCCCAGCCCTGGGAGCAGCACCGGCCAGGGACAGTCCCGCAGCGCTGGGGCTGCCTGGTGAAGGGCTCGGGGCCGGGCCTGTGGCTCAGGGGCAGGGGGAGATGCAGGCAGTCGTGAGCCAGAACTGCTGTGACCCCGTTCCCGGACTGCACTGCCTGGCCACGGCTAACCGAGCGCGTAGGAGCTCGCCCAGCCCACGGATGCAGAGCGTCAGCTGCGGTGCAGCGCTCAGCCGCTCCGGCCTCCCTCTGACGCTCCCTGGCTCAGCACCGGGCTTAGCGCAGCCTCCACGTAGCCCCAGGCAGCCAGCGGGCGAGGGGAGGCCTGAGGCTTTGCTGGGGGAGCTGGGCTGAACGCCCAGGGGGTGGGCGCTAGCACCGTGGAGACGCTCACACCAAGGCCACGCGGGGAAGGGGGACGGGACTTGCTAGGAAGGTTTTTGTCTTTTGCTGATTCACACCCAGCCCCCGGGCGGGCAGGTGATGCGTGGAGACTCTGGCCTTTCTCGCCGGGCACCCGTCAGCGCCAACCTGGCCCGGCTCACCTCAGTCCCTTGGGGTCAGCTCCCCTGCCTGGGGTGCAGCGGTGAGGGCACCCTAAAGCTGCCCCCGCCCCCAGGCCTAGGGGCTGGTGCCCGGCTCTGAGAGCCCATCCCCCTGCCCCAGCAAGAGGCGCTCAGTCTCCCCGGGCACCCGCACACCCAGCTGGGTGCCAGCCCAGCCAGTGACGCCCACAGCCCGTACCCTGGGCATGGGCGCCTGGGGGCACGAAAGGGGCACTTTGCCCCAGGTGCCCCAAGCCAAGCGAGGCCCCCACGGCCTCTCCGTTGTCTGCCCCGCCCGGACAGGCCCCGAGCAGCTGGGTGGGGCCGAGCGAGGGCTGAGCAGGGGCGCTGAGCCCCGGGGGGCTGTTCGTTTCCCAGGCACCCACTGCTGCCCACGTGGGTTGTGGGCGGCGCCAGGGCCCGGCTGCAGCACCGGGGCACCCCAGGGACCCCTAGGGCAGGAAAGCCCCATGAGGCCAGCGCAGGCAGAGAGGGGCTGAGCCGCATCCCCTGCCCCAGGCCCTGCCAGTCACTTCCTGCCGTGCCCACGGCGCTCCGCCCCCCATATGTCTGGTGGCCCCAACGCGGAGAGGGGGCTGGGTACCGCTGGGGAAGGGTCAGGCAGGGCCAGGGGCAGGAGGAGGGCATGTCCAGGGTAGGAATAGGGGCAGGGGTGGGGTGCAGTGGGACAGGCCAGGGCAGGGCTGGGGAGGGGCAGGGCAAGGCCGGGCCGGGCCGGGCCGGGCGGGGGCCAGGAATCAAGCCTGCAGAGGGGCAGCCAGCACCCATCACCCATCACAGGCTCCCTCCAGGGGAGGGGACAGGCAGTAGCAAGGGGGGACGGGTGGGGAAAGTGGGGCAGGAGACTGCCCCCCAATACACCCCCTATCCCCAGCAGCTGGGTTCTAGCACCTACAGATCCACCTCCCCCCCCAGCGCTAGCAGAGGCTCGGGGGGGGGGGCACTGTCACCTCCCCCCGCCCCACTCACTGCCCCAGGGCCTCATGGCAGAGGCCCCCGGCTGCCACTCGGTGACACCCCCCCATGTGAGCCCGGCGTAGGCACTGCCCCGACCCTGCGGGCACCAGCACCCCAGGGCCTCTCAGCCCTCCTGTCCCCCGCAGCATGGTGCCCCCCCACCCTGCAGCGCTGCCCCCCCCTCAGGGCAGCCCAGAGCCCCCTGGTGCCACACAGGGGGTGGGCCTGTCCTCCCCCCACAGGGACAGGGCCCAGGGGCCTTTCAGAATACTTTATTTTGTACATATGGTTCATTAGCGTACGACAGCCCTGCCCCCGCTCACACCCCGGGGGGGCTGAAAGCTGAGGGGGGGCTTCCATTGGTGGCTCCTGGGCTGTGAGCCGGGGGGGTGGCCGCATTGCCCTGGAGCAGAGGGGAAGAGCTGGCTCCTGGGGGGGCTCACAACCTGCGGTCATAGCTGTGGGGCTCCCTGGGCAAGGGGTTTAGGCAGGATTGGGGGATCCCCGTGGAGACTAGCCCGCCCCCACGGGGGGAACTGGGTTGAGGGATGTGCAGGCCTGGGGCACGCGTCCCCACAGTAACACAGAGTGAGCAGCGCCCCCAGCCAGGGCCTGGCAGAGGCCAGGGCACCCCCCACCCTGCCCAGCCCCACGCCAGGCCGCTGCTCTGGGCCCCGCAGGTCCCACGACCCCTCCCTGCTCCCAGCGCTGGGCTCGGCCGCCCCAGCCTCTGAAACCAGCCACAGAAATAAAGTGCAGATCAACCCTCGCGAGAAGGGGGACACTGGGGGGAGGGGGCATGGTGAGGAGGGGGTGCTGGAGGGCAGATCGGGGCGGGCAGCTGGGGGGGGTCGCTGGTGGGGGCAAAGCCAGGAGACGCTGGAGAGGTGGGGGTGCTCGGGAGCACAACAGGCGTTGCTGGGGGCACATGGGGCAGCGGGTTGGCAGGGCAGGGGGCAGGGCAGGGGGTGGGTGTTGCTGGCAGGCACCAGGGAGGCTGGGCAGGCGTTGCTGGTGGGCACAGACGGTGGGCATTGCTGGGCGGCACTGGAAGCAAGGGGTGGGGGGTGGGGGGTGCTGAGAAGCGGGTGTTGCTGGGGTGTACAGGGGGCGGGTGTTGCTGGGGTGTACAGGGGGCGGGTGTTG